CTATTATGATGATGAAACTATTCCCTTAATACTGAGGTTACTTGATTATGACAAAGAGAAAAAAAAACTGCACCAGGAAACCATATTGAAATAGTTGGACCCCTCAATAGCAATAACTAATGTCAGTATGAGTCAGTATTTTCTGAAACTATTTTGTTTAGGATGCTGTAACCAAACTAACAAGCTATGCATTAAAATATAAAATGATGATTTGTGAATATTAAACAAATAATCTGATGAATTTGTATTTTATTTCCCCTCTAAACTCTATATTGTATTAACATGCATTTTAAGATAACTACAGAAACTTTTTGAAGAAAGAGTTTTCTAAAAAGGGGCTTTAAAACAAAAATTGTAAGGCACAGAAATTGAAGAAATAAGAAAATATTTTTCTTTGCAATAAATTATTAAAAGAATAATAATGTCTTATTTTTCTGCAACAGAATGCATATTATATTTTTATATCAATGGCAGCCACCACACTATTCCTTTCAAGCAACACAGAGTTTAATTTAATGTATTTTTCACAGTAGAAAAATAAGTAAGAAACAGTTTAATGAAAATAAGCAAGTGCCTCAGTTGTAATTTAATGATAAACTTTGCTAAATATTTTTTTAATGTTAGTAGATATTGTGAATATTTCTTAGATCATGAACTGCAACATTGTTTATTTTTTCATCTACATTTGAAACAGGTACAGTTAAGGTAATTATACTTTTATCAATAAGACATTTCAATTTAAATCCTAATGTCAATGACTCTACCTTGCATGCTAATAGGTTCATAAAAATAAGAAACCCATAAATTTAAACCTGTGGTTAGAATATATATGATTTCTCCCTAAATTATAATCAGCATTAATGTTATCATTTTGAGATTTTCTAATTAAACGGATGACTTTAAGAGAATTGTTGAATTCTTTTTCAGACTTAAAATGAGCATCAAACCTAAAAGGTATATGCTATTTCAATTAATCTTAAATACACTTTCACTTAAAAAACAATTTTAAGTGAACCATAGAAAGTTTTCTAGGGAAAACTACTTCCAAAATGTTGCCCAAAAAACTGCATGGACTTTTCTACACATTTGCTAGAAATTCATATTAAATGAAAGGCATGTGCATACAGGCACAATTAAGTATTTTAAGGAATAAGTCACATTACTTAAAAACTTAACTCAGTAAGAAAATGCTTATGGTGCCAATGTATTCAGCATCTGTCTGTTCCATTGTAAATAAAATATAAACACTGGCGTGTAGAAAACTCCTAGATATCACACTGTTTTTTTCAAGACTGTAGAACATTACAGAAAAATCATTTAGATGAAAAAAATTGAAAATGACATTGCTGCAATTCCATAGTGTCATACTTTTTGTTTCAGAAATAATTATTAGAGTATATAATTTAGACTATATAATTATACTCTAAAACCCTATGCTTGCAACAACTTGCTGTCACTATTTGAAATTGTGGGTGTGCAGACCTAGTAAGTTTGTTTGCAATTTCCACAAACCTGCCGGCATAATACCAATTGTGTGTGAGGTCAAATTAGAACCATTTACAAGTTGGCTAGTGAAGAAAAGAGGGAAAAGAAAGGAACAAATTATTTTTAGGATAAGAAGCATGTCAGCTCATGTCATACCAAAGAAACTAAAATGCTATGTACAGGTAATACCTGAAACAAGCCTAGATGTATATGGATAGATACTGTTCTTACCCAATAGATATAACAAACCAAAAGGTCAAATATATTGTATTGCAAGCCTATACATAATTCAGTGCTTTCAGATAGGTGAATAAGCTGATGTTGAAAACACCACAGGAGCTAGTGTTTATTCATTGCTGTTTCACGTTCAGTTTATCTATAATGAAAGAAACTTATGACCTACCATTGGTCTACCTCATAGAAAAAAAGTAGGTGCCAAAAATCAGGAAGATCCAGAGCCAAAGGCATCATACTACTAAATTTACAAAGGTTTGTCTATTGTTGATTAAATAAAAAGAGACTCAAAGCTCAATGCAAAGGGAAACAAATCTTTTTAAAGGTTTGAAAGTCTCAGATAACTGCCCTGCCATTGTTTTACATTTTTTCATGCCTCTACATTTCCTGGTTCTGCCTGAGACCAGATGTGCCAAAACACTTTAATAAAGAGTGCTATCATAGCTCAGCAAGAAGCAGGAAACACAGGTAATCTTGTAAGCAGAAATAAAATCCTCAAATTTAAAACATCTGCATATATTTTCATTAGAACTAACATCTCTAATATAGTCACTTTGCCTATAAATTCATCTATCTAATATCTATCTATCTTTGACTTATCATGAATAAAACTGATGGTTTCACTAGCCTAAAATGCCTGCAATTTCAGTATTTATTACAACGTGCTGTTTTTCCCAAACTATGTTAAAGAGTATTGAAAAAGAAGTCCCACATATTTTCCCTGTTTTCAACACAAGATGGATAGATAGTATAGACAAATTATTTACTCTGACCTATTTATGTACAAAATTATGGAATAGGGATAAGTCTGTTTTGGGGAGGGATGAAATACAATACAAAAGAAACCTCTAGGTGGAATAAAAAGTCTCTGTAATCCAGTATTCTGTGTCAGACACAACAAAATGTTTTTCAATGGTATTTAAGCAGAACATAAAGATGTAGCTCCATTCTAATGTTCTTCTTGACCATGAATTTATTGGTTGTAGCTACAGTTAGCTAGTAAGCATTAATACTTCTATTTTTCATGAATCTGTTGAACTCATCCTAAAGTCAGCAAGGCTAGTGATTATCACCACAATTACAAGTAGTGAAATCTATAGGTTATATTGCTTATATAAAACTTTGCTCAGAAAAATACTCCTTGTAATATATTCTAATTAAAGGGACTAGTATGACACATAGCACTAGTTCAGACATGTTAAATTGGAATCATAATACTTCATGCTATACCAGAAACTGCTTTTTGTAAGATCCCTGTTTCAAAATCAATTTTATGGGTTGAGCGAGGAATTACTGCTCAAAATAATAAAACTTAAAAGTCACACTTGATACACAGTGGAGCTGACCAAATCCATGGAATGTTGACATTTAACAATTAAATTAAGACATTTATGGTCAATTATAATGGCATGCAACTATTAAAAACATATGGATGTATATTCCATTTTGATTAGGAAAAACTATAGGCTATTTGGCACAGGATCAAGATAGAATACTCTTTCAGTGAAATTTGGACTCAGTTATGTATTGTATAATCAGAACACAGAATCTCATATATGCACTTGGTTAGGTTATCTCATATTGAAACATGTTTATGTTTGTGTGTACAACATGAAATTGCCATACTGGCAATACTTGAAATAGTGTTTATTTTACATATTTAAGATACAAAATAATAATTTTTATGTTAACTTGTTAAGATATCATTGAGTAGTTTCTTTCATAAATGAAATTGAAATACAGGACAGATGTTTGAGAAACCGCATTTAGTGGTTGCACACACTAATTTCAATAATATCAGCTCATCTATTAAATAAGGTACATTTTGTTAGATTTTGGGAAAAAGAAACATCAGGAAATATTTAAAGGGCAATTGTTGCCAATTAACTTTGATAAACAAGTTGTATGTGAATCTTCAGGATTCTTTTGCCTGCCTAGAATAATGTATATTTATACTTTCTAACAAAATAATACTGTGATGATTAATGCTTATTGGCAATGCTCCTCAAGCTTGTTTAGTGGTTTAGATTTAAATAAACCACTGCCTTTATTACGATAGAAGCAAAATTTGAGTTTGTCTGTATTTGAAATTTTAATGACAATACCCCAAAGTCTGTTTTTCCATTGTTAAATGAAAGAAACAGAAGAGTTGGAAACACTATTCATAATCAGGGACATTCTTTTAGGGTGGGGGGAGGTATTAATACGAAAGATTTTAAGCTTTTGATATGGTTCTTTAAAGTTTGACATTACAACTAACCACTAGAATTTTCTACAGTTCATGCAAAAGGTCTGCTTATGTTTTTATTATTCACATAAACATTGTGATCTGAAACATTTATCATAATAACTGTAAAGGTATGAACCAGTTACTCGGGTTTCATTGTGCTATGCTATCAATAACAAATATGTTCTTGTTTTGTTGATATTTTAACCTTGTGTTAGCAGCCCAGACTCGCAATTGTGAGATGATATATAAAACAATGTAATAAATACAATAGATTTCACAACAAAAACACCATCCACAAGATGCATAGCAGAAAATAATAGCATAATGTAGTATTGGGGAAGACAGAAACTCAGTTTCTAAAAGGCATTTAACATATGCAAGATTACTGAATTCACTTAATTTCAACACAGTTCCTTACTCTGATTCAAATGACCTAAGAAATTTAATTTAAGTAATTATTAGGAAGATAGCATGCTTTCTTAGCCAGTAACCATATGATCATATTTTAATGTTTCAAATTTAGTCAAAATATTAATATCTTAATACTAAATAAAATTATGATGACCATTAAAGTTTCCAACAGATATTAAACCCAGAAGGAACAAATGATAATTTATATTTTTGGAATAATATATATACATACAACAGTAGATAAAGATTTTTAAGTTTCTTTAAGTGGATAACACAATAGGTTGAGTGGTTTGGGTAGAAATCTGAGAAAGAGGAACCACATGAAGAAACTGGGTAAATATTGTAGGGAAGAAATTATTTGTGAAGAGATACCAATAGCAAGGAACAGAAGAACTGTTCCTATCTCAACCTATGCCAGGAATCCAATAGACAGGTACTTGAAACCAATGACAAACAGTGGCTTGCATATTAGTTAGCTACACCTAGAAGCAGACAGACGATTACCATGAAATTAGTATAAATAAACTGATAAAGAAGGACTCTGGAGCACTAATTTTGCCAGTGTAAATCCTCTCTTATGGAATAGTACTTATTTAGTCTTTAAAAAATTTGCTGTGTCATTCAAATAATAATTACTTACTTCTAAATCATTAAAGAACAGATGCGTATCTGCCAAGTTGAAAATCATCTCCTCCATCCTTAGTCCCAGTGAAACAGAAGTAGGGGGATCCTCATAAAAGAAAAGAGACAAAAAAGGAAAAAAAGTTAGACTTATTAGAGAAAAGAAGATAAATTGTTATGGTTAAATTGCCTTGGGGAGGAGGACTTTTATGGGCTCAAAATAATGTCCTAATTACAAATTATGCAACAAAAATAACAAAAAAGGATAAATAATAAAACAATTACCATGTACTATGATAAGAAAAGGCAACAGGTCACTAGTGATAAAATTTATTCTATTGTATTTCTATTGTACTTTGTTCTGTTCTATTTTGTTCCATTCTGTTCCACTCATTATTTTACAATTTTTGAGATAAACATTTACAGATTTTTCTTAACAATGGGTATCTGGATAGGAGCTGTGGTAGTGCATTGGTTAGAATGCAGTATCACAGGCTAAATATGTCCACAGCCAGGACTTTGTTTCATCCTTCAGAGGTCAGTAAAAACCTGACATTGTAAATTGGTCAGAGTGCTGTAAAGGACTATGGAACTGTAAATAAGTCCAAATGCTATTGCTGTAATAGTTCAGGACTATATTATTGTTATGGAATCAGTGGTGGGTTTCCAATTTTTTTACTACTGGTTTGCTCATCTGTGTGTGCCCCCGCAACATTTCTGTGCATGCACAGAAGCATCCGGGTGGGTGGGCAGAGCTTCCCATCGCCCGATCTGGGCTGAACCACTAGAAACCTACCTCTTTATAGAATCTTTATAAAAAATATATACGCTGATGTATATTGTATTTCATTTATTATGTAAGTAGTAGCACCACATTTAATTTTTTTAAATTTTTTTAATTAAAATATTAAAACTTTAATATTTTAACTTTAATTTTATATACTCTTTTATATGTTGATATTTTACTATACGCAACCCAGAGCCCCTCTTTAAGGGGGATGGTGGTCTAAAAATACAAAACATAACATTAAATAAATGTAAAAATGCATATTATATATTTCCTTAACAAATTGGCTTCTTAAAAACAAAAGAGTTTTTACAGCTTTAAAAAAGAATCAATACTATACAGTTTCCTTGTGGACACCTTACTAAGTTACTCTGATTATACAGAGCACCAGCTTATATAAACATCTACTTAATGTATAAAACCACCTCCTTTTAAGGCATGCCCTAAGTTTCTGTTAAAATATGAAAATCAGTGAAGTCACCGTAAAGCATTTTTTTCCTTTTTATAAAAGTTGTTTTCTCTGGGTAGGCCAACAAAAATACTCATCTGGAAGCTCTTAACTTGGAAATTTATATTGTTATATCAGAAGCATATTTTATGTAATAGACCTTAAGATACAGCAATTTCAAGGTCTCTTGTTTGGAACTATGCAAGTGGCATAGATTGTTAAACCTCTATATGCAACTTCCTGAAGCTGCCTAGAATTGCTACTACACAAAATAGGTGGCACATCAATCAATCAAGCAAATAAATATTTTTTGTTCCTATTCCTTTCTTACCTAATATGTATATACTTATATACACATACATAAGAATCAGGGGTGGGTTCCAGTTGCTGCTACTGCTGGTTTGCTCAGGGATGCTCTGTGCATGCTTGATGAATGCTATATGTGCATGTGCAGTACTTAAAAATGATTCTGTGCATTTGTAGAAGCAAAAAAACAAGATGGCGGTGCATATGGCATGAGCTGTAAGCCATAATCATCACAATTATGACAAATCACAGCTTGAACTATCTTGCTTTGCATGTAATGAGTCTATCTCATATATTAGTTTCACCTTTTAAGTTGCATTATTGAAATAAATGAACTTTTGCACAATATTCTAATTTTTCGAGTGTCACCTGTACATATAGAGATACAGCCTAATATTTCATTGTAGTCTTTTCTCAAAGAAAAAATCTCTTCTTGACTTTTAAATAAAATACACAGTGGTGATCTACATTTAAACCTTCCAGTTGACTATAGATATATTAATTCACCAGCCCAAAATGGAAATAAAATGAAGGACTAGGAAAAAGAAGAAGAAGAAGAAAGCAACCAACAGCAAATGCAAGCTGACGAAAGAATGGACCACCTACTTAGCTGCTGCAAGATCGCCCAGACTGATTAAAAACCATTGTTTTGCATGACAAAGTAGCAACAATATCTGCAAGAAATACCACTTGCCTACAATGAAGAATTGGTGGGGCCACAAGACAGACATGATAATAGAAAATGAAAAAAAACCTGAAGTGCTATGGGGTTTGCAATTCAAACAGACAAGCTCCTTCCACATAACACTCTAGCCTTAATAACTGTCAATAAGAAAGGCAAAAAAGTTTGAATGGTGAATGTGAGAAAGAACTGGTCAAATTTACAAAACACAAAGACTTAGAAGTAAAATAACTGTCAAAAGAGAGATAGTACCAATAATTACAACTGCCTTGGGTACAATTCCAAAACATCTGGAATACCATCAGCATTGACAAAATCACCATCAGTCAATTGGAAAAGGCAGCTTTACTTGGAAGCTTACATCCTATTATGATACCTTAAAACATTATTAAACAAAATCAGCTTAACCCAGATCCCTGGGAGGGACAAAGATGTCTAAACATTTGGATGACTATGTAATAAATCACAACATAATAACAATAATAATTTCCCCATGGACACCCATTGTCAGGGGGATGGAGTTTTAATACTCTGTTGAGATTGACAGCTCTGCTGACATTAGTGTATTTTATCAGAAGAGTTATTCAGGCCAGAGATGTCTCAAAGTGTTTGACTATGTGTAGCTGTCAGTCCATTAACTATAGTGAGTAAATAGAAAAAGAATCCTGTACCAGATTCAATGACCTGATCAGTCAATGACCTGGTTCAGCAAGGACCGCATCAGGTGTTACAGTTCCTGGATAACTATTGGCAAGTGGGCATCAGGACTCAGGATGCCTGAGTAACCAGAACTTAGCCCTGTAGGATTATTGAAAGAAGAACCACAAAAAAGATAACAATATACTGTGATTCAAAAACCAAGTTATTATAAATTGGAACCAAAAATATGAAGCTACTTAAAATGAATGTATGAATTTTAAAAATAATTTATTCAAACTCAAATATTGCTGAACAATAAAAGGAGATTGATTATTAGAAATAAACTATTCAGGGATACAGAATTGGAAGAAGTTCAGAAAAACGGTGACAATAGAAAACCCAAAAACAATATAGACAGTCCATACTCAATGTCTATTCGTTTAGTCACTGTTTGAAGTAACAATGGTTCTGGAAAAAAAAGTAAGACCAGTCCTTGCACTGACTGTCACAGTATCCCTACAAATAATGCGATTGTGATTTAAGTGCTTGGTAACTGTCATGCATTTATGATGGTTGCAGCATCTGTGGTCATGTGATTACCATTTGTGATACATTTCCAAACAGTTCCTAACAAACAAAGTCAATTGGGAAGCCAATAGAAAAGGCTGCTAGTTGCAGCCATGTGATGTTGAGTTTACAACCATAGTGATTCCCTTATGACTGTGTCAAAAAAGATCATAAAATTTAATAATCATACCACTTAATGATGGATTTTATGGTCCCTATTGTGGTCACAAGTCAAGGGCTACCTACGGTAGAGCAATACAAAAGACTGAAATAAAAATTGGAAATATAGAGGGAACGTCTGATATAAATGATAATTTATAAAATGATTGTTCAATGTTTGGCTTGCCTGGGCCTCATCAAATGAAAAGGAATTGTCATGGGTTGCATTTAATATATAATATATACTGTATATAAATAACAAACTTTATTTGTTTATTTTTTATGAACTTATGGAACCACACTATAGTTGTCCAGCGCTATAAGACTTAGAACAAGTAATAACAAAAGAACTAATAGCACAGGTCAGCTCTGTAACAATCTATGAACTGACTCTCTGACAAGAAGAATCAAAATAAAAAATATAGCATATGCACAATCGCCAGTAGGAAGATAAAGACTGCCAACACAATAAAGTAATGCCCCGTCCCCAATTTTGTGGCAGCTATAATGAAAGATGAGAATAAGATCTTTCTGTCAAAATAACATCTATCGAACAAACCAATCAGCTTGCCTATAGTATAGCAGTGGTAGTTACAAAAAACTTAGTACCAAAGTTAAAAAACAAAAAAATAAACATATTCAATTTCAAAGTGAAGATAAGTTTGGGGGCCAAGATAAAGAAATAAAGATCAGATGCAAGTAATTTAAAGAACATGAAAGAGTTAAGTGAGGTAAAGTTGAAATGCTAGCTATTCATGGACCATCTTGCAAGTAGCTTTTTTTTTAATACACTAGGATCATTAAAAACAGGTAATCATTATTGTAAAGTTCTATCATATTATTTTACTTATTATTTAAACTTAAATAAAATGAAAAGGCAATCTACATGTTTGTTTGTTTGTTTGTTTGTTTATTTATTGGATTTATATGCTGCCCTTCTCCCAAAGCACTCAGGACAGCGTACAACATTAAAAAAACCACATATTACAAAAGTTAAAAAGGAAATTAGATAGAGTATCCAAAAACAAACCCAATTAATATTAACAATAACATTTTAAAAATTAGATTAAAATTAACAATTAAATCAATCATTTATTTTATTTTGTTCAGGCCAGGCCGGCTTGCTGGAAAAGCCAACTTTTTAGGGCGCGTTGGAAGGACCGGCGGTGGGGGATTATGCAAAGGTCCAGGGGCAGCTCATTCCAGAGGGAAGGCGCTCCCACAGAGAAATCTCTTCCCCTGGGGGTCGCTAGATAAATTCATATTTGTAGGGTTTCAAGAGATAACTAATTCAGCTATTACTAAATTAAATGCTAGACATGTACACATTTACAGTAATTGAGAAATCTTATATTCAGAACTTCTGAGTCCAATGGTGAACAAAGCTTGTAGTCCTGAATTCTTCTCTAAATCTAAGCTATTGTCCACACAATTACCATTAATTCAATTCATTTCTCCCACATCCAAAGTGACAGAACCCTATTATTATGACCAATATTAGTTTTCTACTACAAATTCTCATCTACATTCAACTAGAAGATAAAAATTATCTTATTTAGAGCTGATTTAGAGCTGATTGTGTTTTAACCCTCTACATGTCTTTGGAGTTAAAATCTCTTTGCTCACTTAGACCCTATCTATAGGATAAATATCCTGACAGAGAATTTAAATATTAAATAGCGCAACATTGTTTTAAAGATTCTATACTTCAACACTATTCAACACAATAGTGGCCAGAACTGGCATGTAAACTGAGATAAAATAATGGAAAACTAGATTCTTAATCTTTGTTATTTTAATTCTTTTTTGAATAATTATTGCAAAATTAAATGTTTGAAAAGTGCAATGAACCATTTAAAAAGTACCATTTATAAATACAAATGGCATATTTATTAGGATTTATTACAGCCCATATTAGCATGTCATCTTAAAATTCTTGCTCCCTTTGTTTTCTGGTGAAATAAGAGTTGAAAAACAGGAAAGTTCAGGTTTTTTCCCCTGCCTCAGCTTATTTTCTAGTTAACTGGAAAGTCAGAATTGAATACTTCTATGAATGAAGTTGGGCTTTCCCCTTCTTTTTATGTAGCATGTTATGACATATATCTCTTACAATTAAATCAAAGAAAAATAAGTTCATATTAATACTACAAAACTTCAAATGATGAGGTGTTGAACCATAAGTACCGCTACATAAACAAATTATCAGAATTTTAGCTAAGTTCCAATCTTTGTTTAATGGTCTTCTGCACAGTGATCTCCTATCGCTTTCTTTATCTGAATTAATTTAGTTTCCATTTAATCTAAACTGGCAAACAATCACTTTTCTTTTTGAAGAATTAAAAATCAGTATTTGACAATGAGAACACGAAAGAGTCATTACATAAGCCTGACATTCATGTACATAATGCCAATATATAACTTGATGTTTTATTTGAGTTATTTTACTTTTTCTACTTTCTAATTCTTTCTCCATGTTTTGCAGGAAAATTTGGGCTGTCAGGCAGGAGGACCTGTCCACTTCATAATGCCTCCCAGCTGGTCACTGGTGAACTAATAAGTAGTAAACCAATAGCCACAGATGCACAGAAGGCATCACTGCATATATTCAAAGAACATATCCCACTACTTCTATACTTTCTTTTCAGCATAATATGTACACAGCTGTTAGTTATTTATATTCAAGATAATGCTCACAGAAAACTGTTTTTCAACAGCATTCAAATTATATACTTTATTCCTGAGAAATATAATAATTCTCTCCTCTAAGACTTTTATTACTATCATGATTAATGTGAAAAAAATGATTAAATGAGTCTCACAAACAACCATTTGTTCATGTCCATATCAATAATTAAATCCAATGTTATGCTTTCAGTTAATGGAGGCTTCCTACTTTCTGCTCCCCTCACCAAGCTTTATTCAAGGAAGGCTATTGCTGAAAAATCTGAAACTATACTTTTCTTTTAGGATTAATGGATAAATAACTGGAAAAAATATAATTTATATTATAGTAACATGTAAGTAACGGTCTAACCACAGAGTAAGAGTTTAATTTTCACTTGAAAATTGAAAAGAAAATTGGAAGTCACTTCTTTATATTTTTTCTGCACTTTTGGCTTGTTTTTTTATTTCATTTTTCCTCATTTCCTTCATTATAAATATTACTTATTATTAGTTCCTGTTTTCTTTCTTAAATTATTATTAAAGTTAAATATGTATATCATATGCTGACTTTTAGTGTGTAAAAAGTACATTTAAAATAATAATATAGAATTTTACTGTAGTAAAAAATGGAGATAGCAACTGTATCTTCTATATAGTTAATTTTTAACTCTATTGCCTACTTCAAGCTATACATATCTGCACCACTTTTTAAAAAAGAGATGCAATCGTAAATTGAATCATTTATTTGTCTGAATTTCATTTGTACAATAGTCCTTAGTTCTTATCATTCATTCAGTAACCATTCAAACCTACAACAGTGTTGAAAAATTAGCTTCATGGCCCAATTATGATCTTTGCAGTGTGCCTCAATAGTGATTGCCATTACAAGTCCTTACAAGTCCTTGACTTACAACCAGTCATTTAATGACTGTTTGTAGTCATGATGGTTTTGGAATGAGTGTGTGTGGAGTACTTCCAGATGCTGTAAAATAGTGTTATCCTGCAGTCACAAGACAACATTTTGAATACATGGCAACCTGTTCACAACTGGTTGCCAAGTGCCCTAATCATTGCAGCTTTGAACAGTCACATGATCACTGTTTGCACACTTCATAACCATTTTCTGACAATCAAGAGTCAATGGAGAAGCCAGCAGTAAACTTTCATGTTGTGGTCATGTGATGTATCAATTACTGTGACACTAACTGACAGAGCTGCTGGTCCCAACTGTTAGTTAGGTGAATAATATCTATAACAGGTACAACAACCAGCCTTAAAATTGACCATAGAAATGTTGAAACAGAAGATGGTTTGACAGGATCAACTATCAACAGGGAATGGTGAGGGAGACCAGCTTTCAAGAAATATGCTGCAAATTAGCACTTTGTAGAAGCAACAAAGGCCTAAGAAAAGATATTCAGATGCCATGATGGGTCTATATAGGTCAACATTTTGCAGGCAAATTTAAAGTTGGACAGAGAAAATCTTTACTTTTGAAATATGATGTTAAAAAAGTTTCCTGGGAACTCTATAGATAGGCAAAATAAACAAATGATTCAAAGAACAAATTAATCTAAAGTTCTCACCAGAAGTACAACCAGCCATCCTCAAATTATTCTACTTGGACAAATTATGCAAAGACCTAGCCCTCTGAAGAAGCCTTTCTTCAGAGGATTTTCTGCCGTAAAATCATGGAGTTGGAAGGGAGAGATTGTCATGGAGAAAATCTAGCTATTTGATCACCAAAACTTGATGTCACATAATCCATCCATTAATGAAATATTTTATCATATCATAACCCTGTACCATGTAACCAATTTTCATCAGCCCATTTATTTAATATCAAGATTTATTTTTCATTACAGTCGCATTGTATCAGTACAGTTTGTGATATACTAATCTTTAAAAAAAATAGATAATACTGACAGATATATAGAAAGTTCTTTATGTAATTCCCATTGAATATTTTATTTGTCTAGTATTAAAAAGCTGGAACTGAAGATTTTTATCCATATCATAAGTTAGATTTACTTCATTTAATAATTCTAACATTACACATTTCATTTAATAATTTTGTACCTTTTTTCTTTTATCCAGTGGACATTTTATGTATTTAAAAATATGCTATTTTTTAGAGTGGCAAACATTTTATCATCCAGAATTCAGTAGGGAATTTATATACCAGTAATAAAGAAAATACCAAAAGTTATTCATAATTTTAATTACGTTAACAGGAAGACATTGCACCATTTTGTGCATCATTCCTAGTGTATTGTTATAGAGACACTACAACTAAAATACAAATATGTATTTATTTGTTTGAAAAGCAACTTTATAAATGATTTTACTTTTAAAATTATTTGTTAAAGGTTTTCTGAAAGCACTATCAGCTCCTGATGAACTACACAGAAACATTTGTTTTGATTTCTTTACAATATGGATGTTTCCAGGGTGTTATTTCTTTTCAGATTTCCAGATGATCTCCAGAATTGACCATTCACTTTCAATGCTTTATAAGAACTGAAACCTAAATGACAATTATTTTTTTATTTTACTTTTAGCTTCAATAATTGCTTTTTTCTATAGATTGCTTCTGCATGCACACATATACAAATGTTGTATTTCATACTTACTCTCCCATATCTATTAGCATACGATCCTGTGAGAAGTGAATGGAAAATGATGATTGTCTCATCCAAATCCCAAATGAAAACTCTCTATAAAAATAAAATACAAATATTTATACTTGTCATGTTTTATAAAGTATAGTAGAATTACCTAAAATAATTGTTCTGAAAGTTGTACTTATTATAAACGTATCTATTTTTATTCAATTTCAGACCAATGTCCATACTATAATATAATGTCAACAATGATGACATATTATAAAATTTCTAAAGATATAAAGTGGTTGCTTATTAAAGCAGCCATATCTTTTTCATGTTTATGCAAAGTTTTAAAAATAATTCAGGTACTGGGACATACTATGCTCATATTCCTCTGCCTTTCAAAATATATATTCCAAACAATTTTTGAAGTAAGCATAGCCTTAGTCCATACATATATCTGTCATAAAATATATCTGTCATAAAGCTAGATATAAATATTTATAGCAATAAGGGTATATAGTCAATTAATTGTTGAATGTTATAAATTCAAACACAAATTATACAATAAAAATTGTTTTTCAAATGGAAACACACAGTCTTAGTTCATTAGTTGTTTGTCGTATCCATAAACACAATCAACTTACTAGAACATTAATTGTAACTTAGTTACCAATTTTTCAGAGTATAAGACGCACCTTCTCTCCCTCTCCACCCCCAAGAACATACAAATGTTGCTGCATCTTATACACCAAATACAGCCATTTTTGGGCTCCTGAAGCCCTGCCGCCACATCCCATTTTTGCAAAACAGGCTGTTTTTTGCAAAAACTGAGGTTTTTGTGTCTTCCCTCAGCCCCCAGCAGCCCTCTGCAGGCTTCAGCAGGGCTGGGCAAGGCAAAAATGCCCCCGTTTTGGCAAAAAATGGGTGAAAAATGGTTCATTTTTTGCAAAAACTGAATCTTTTTTGCCTTCTCTCAGCCCCCAGCAGCACTCTGCAGGCTTCATCAGGGCTAGAACAAGACAAAAACAGGGGTTTTTTTGCCTTGCCCTAGCCCTGATGAAGCCTGCAGAGTGCTGCTGGGGGCTGAGAGAAGGCAAAAAAATAATAATTCTTACTTACTTCTTAGAAATCTTGGTGTGTCTTATAGTCAGTGCATCTTATAGTCAGAAAAATATGGTATTTCTTTTGAAAATGTAAGGTTTGAAAAGATGTTGTAACTTTTACCTTGAGAAAGAAACAATAGGAGTTCATCTACAGATGAATAATTTTATAGAAGAAAACTCACTTGTAAAAATACAAGTGTTGCTAAGTGTTGTTTCACCTAATTTTCAAGAGTTTTCATGAAATCACCTTTGCTTTCCTTACCAACTCTCCCTAATGCTGCTGAAAAGGATGAATCAATATACAAATAAAATAGCTGTTTTGTATCTAGTACCTCAAGGTCAGAGTCAGGTGGTGGTGAAGGATTGTTATTCCTTCTGCCTCGACCACGTGATTTGCCATCCGAGCTGCGACGCAACCTATCTGCCTCTGAATCTTTAACTGGTGTTGTAGGAATTGTACTGTACTCTGCTGGAAAAGAGAAGAGAAAATTGCTCATATTTTTATTCAATTGCAGTTTTCTGAATTTCATAATTTTAAGTAAACTGTACAGATTTTGCCAATCTTGTGTTCACTGTAGCATTTATTTTGAGTTAATATTAGCATGCCTGAAAGAGCTCTTTCTAATCTTAACCACAACAATCAATAGATAACGGAAGTTCACTTCTTGTCTATTATCAAATGCTTATTGCTTTAAAAAACGACTTCCAATTTTTAAGAATTCAAAATATGTCCCATCTAAAGTTAAGAATGCCTAAATTTCAGCAATCTCAATTAAATATACCTTTTTGTTCCTCATGTTTTAAAAATTATAACCATAAAACTTTTACTTTAAGTTGAGCTAATGATGAATGAGGGGCTAAATTGGTATGGCAATTTTTATAAAGACAAAAAATAAATTTTGAGAGTTTGTTGGAGAGATTTATTTGAAAAGATCCTTCCAATTATTCTTTTTTCCTGAAAAAACATCATGGTGTTTTTCAGTAGCCAAAACAACTGTTCTTTGTACAAAAGAAATTTGGGACAGAATTTGGTTTCAGTACTTATCAAAATAAGCACATGTGTGCCTAATTTACATTCTTACTCATGGTTTAAGCTTATGATCAATTTTAACTATATTATAGGGTTAATGAAAATAATATGAATTAAGATTCCCATAGAGATTTTTCAGAAAGGTCAGGGTTCATAATATGATAGACTTACAATAATAGTTTCGGTTTACCTTTGTATAATTAATTCAATTTCTTCAAAAAATTGAATGTATATATATTTATTTCTCTTATATTTATTTCCGAGAAGGCCCATGAGTTCTTTATATAAGGATCCTTCCTCAATCTATTGTATTAACAACCTAAAGTCAATCTATATTGAAGTAGCAATATTTTCCTTTGGAAAAAGGAGACAAAAGTCTCTGATGATTTTATGACAATTTTCAGGTGAATACTAGAGTGCTTGTTCATTTGGAAGTATTGATATCTAAAGATGTAAGCCAATAACAGCTATTTGATAACTTAGTAAGAGAAGAATACTAGCTCATGTATTCACCGAATTAAATCAGCTTAGTGCCTGAAACTCTTATCTGAATATGCCAACTTTTATTTCTGCAATGTCTCTAATTCTAATCATATATAAGCACATTCAGCTACTAAAATCAATGAAATGAATTTTCAAACATTTCCTCCTCCACTTTGCCAGTAAGAACAAAAATTCTTCAGAGGTATAACCCAGCTATGTTGTCTAAGTTCTTATTTTAGTATAAGCATAATACAAGAGGGAATAGAGAAACAAGATGTTCAACACATTGAACTTTCTATAGAAAAGTTGTTTTGGGATTGAACCTTAGGTGCATGTTACTATTGGTACTATCTTTGCTTTAGCACATAGAACAAAGAATAATAAGGTTGTAAAGTATCTTGGAGGACTTCTAGTCCAATCCCTTTGCCATAGCCATTCTACTTCTATTTATAGGTCTTTGTACAGTATTTTGTGGTTTGCTCTAGTTCTTTTTCTTCTTATCTATTGTCTCCAGGAGAACAAGTATAAATAATAATCTTTTGATCCTAACTTGTTGTAATTGAATTTACTTTAAATTTAATACATATTCTAGTTTGAAATTTTGGTTGTGCCATAAATAGAGCAGCCAGAAATGCAATTCTAAATCTCCCACCTCTGTACCCGCGACGGGGAAAACCTGTACTTAATGTTTTGTGGCTAAATGTTTGTTTTTCTCAAAAGGTTCTTGTTCTGGAACTATTTTTATGAACTTATTCTGAAACAAATCTCACTGAGTTTGTTTGAGCATATTTACATACAATATAACCAGCTACAAAACTTCACTCTTACTCTTAGCCCAGCACCTAAAATAGTTTCAGTAAGCAAATGAGATTCTTTAAATACTATTCCTCTTCTTGCAATTTTTATTACTGCAAACTTTGACTATTTTGCAAAAACTGTAGAAAATCTTGCATCTGAAAATTCATTGCTATACAATTTACCTTCCACCCATCTTTTCGGTAGTGACAAAACAATAACATAAATGTATCTTTATGCATATGATATGTTTATTGAGCTAATACAATAGAACAATTACCTGCTGTAGGATCTGTTATAGCTTGATTTGTGATGCCAGTTGGTGGTTCTTGAAGTTGGTAAGTTGCATTGGAGGAAGGAGTTGTTGGGCTGGTGTTGCTGCTTGTCATATAATGTGGGGGATATGGAGAACTATTATAATACTGTGCGTACTGACCCTGGCCAAAGGTGGGATAAGATGGATATTCCTATCAGAGGCAAAATAAATGCTGAATTACACTTTCCATCAGCATGCAATTACATTTTATTTACTTCTAATATAAATTCAAATTCTGTATGGACTTTCTGTTACCTTAGCCTTAAATAAATTATTGTTCTAACACTTATTTTTAAAGCACAGATAATTATAGGAACTGCTTCTACAAAAATGGAACTAAATTTGGAAAATGAAAGTTATACACTGAATTTTGTAAAAGCTTTAAAATTCTGTTACTAAAATAAAACTAAACCAAGATACCATAATATCAAATTGTCTTTTTCTGAGTGAAGTACGGGTAGTCCTTGATTTACACCAGTTCATTTAGTGACAATTACCACAGCATTGAAAAAAGTGATTTATGACAATTTTTCACATTTATGACTGTTGCAGCATCCCCATGGTCTTTTGATCAAAATTCATGTATTTGGCAACGGACTCATATTTATGACCATTACAGGGTCACAGGATCACGTGATCATCTTTTGCAACCTTCTGACCAGCAAAGTCTATAAACCAGATTAGCTTGACATCCGTGTTCCTAATTTAACAACATTGGTGATTCATTTAACAAATGTGGCAAGAAAGGTTGTAAAATGGGGCAAAACTAACTTAGCAACTATCTCACTCAGCAAAGAAATTTGAGGCTCAATTGAGGTCATAAGTTGAAGACTACCTGTATTTGCTTTGTAATGTTTTTTAAAAGGTGGCTCTGGCATCCTTTGATGATGGAAGGTGATAGAAGGAGAGCAATTCCATTAGCACACTGAAAAATCAATTTTTTTCAGGCTGTTTCTCTCTCTTTATACATTTTATAAGAACTACTGCATTGAAAAAAGAGAATATTTATAGCTTAGGGTTGAAATTGGAGGTACTTGTTGCTTCCAAAACTTGGTTGTGCTCACTGATGATGCTACCTAGTTTTGGTAATGAAATGTCTACAAGAAAAAAACCAAGCTCAGAGAACACCAAGGACCCTCACTCCTCACTAGTACAATTCTATGCATAGAATGATTTATACATTCTCAGGTATGTATCAAACTAAAAGGAAATACACAATAGTGTTGAAGATAATTGAGGAAAAGGAATAATGATTGCTGTAAGAAGGTTAACATAATAAGTTTTCAAGTAAAAGTGGTATAAATGAGGAAATTTTAATGTATGCTAATGATTTCTTTTTGAGTGGTAGTACAACTTGTTTGTATGTGAAGACTGCATCCATTACATGTCATTGGAAGAATATTTTACTGCATCCTATTGAAAATAAAATATAACAAAAATAAATACAAAAATATACATAATATTTAGTTTGTTACAGTAAGTGTGCTTTGGAAGGTGTTGTACTTTAATTATGAGTAGTAGAAGTGACAGTGAGCATCTGGGAAATTCAATTAGGTTTCATGCTGGGCATGAAATGGATAGACTAGATATTTATTGTTCAAGTATACAATTCAGATATGTACAAAGGTGAGAAATAAAATTTATTCCATTGAATAAAAATATATATACTAGAGTGAATAGTCTTTAATTTGGAATGTTTTGAATGAACAGATGAGCTAAAAGTTGATTGCCAAAAGCGGTAGTGTGGTATATAATATAAATAAAGGAAATGTAAGAATGAATAAAATGGTTCAATGTCAAATGAAAAGTGAGTATGATGTCCTCTTGGTGGTTTATATTTGGATAAATCTATAAGTTCTTGTGGCAACATTAAAGGTGCGGATTAAATACAAAAGAGAATGATTCATGTGAAGAAAATACACTGACATGGTTTGATCACAGAGAAACTAGATAAAGATCAAATTAAAATGGCAAGCAAGAGTAAGTGGGTCAAGAAAAAGTTGTAGGTACTGATATTGATGTGATCTTTAAAAAGAGACAGGTGAACTTTTAAAGAACAAATGACTATTTAGGAAATGGGATAAACTCACAGTGGAAGAAAATATGTTTTCTAAGATATTAATATATATAGAAGTATATTAAATGAAAAAGATTAAGAGTATAAACACTGAAAATATTCAGAAATGCTTCAGAGTTCATCAAACCATACCATTTCTCTGACATTAATTAAAGCAACCCAACTACTTCAACTGCTCATTAAAATTAAGGCAATTCATAATGTAATGGCATTTTCTTTATGATTTGCTTTAAAAAGGTTGAACTATACTTATGCTTGCAAGCCATCTAAACACTTTTTCAATTAATTTCCACAATCCTACCAAGTGTTTCTTTTTCTGCTTTTGTCTATCCATTGCATATTCTTTTTGTGCCATGTATTTAAGATTATAAACAAAGGGCAGGAAGTCAATGTTCATTCTTATAGAAAAGGTACACTGATACTTCAATAAAAAGTGAGAAAAATGTTTCAAATAACCCCACCTCTCATATTTACCTGCTGCGAACCATTGAATCCAGTAGAATTTGTAAGCGAATTATTTCCAGCATATATTCCAGACGATGTTGTGAAACCGCTTCCTGAAATAAAACATTAAAGAGAAAGCATATAAATTAGTATAACTACATTCAATTAGACTAAAACATGTCTTGCAGGGATGTGAAACATATTTTGAATTTGAAATGTTCTGTTGCAAGATTGAAAAACCATCTTAAGGTAAACATGGTTGTTCCAATCTTAATGGAAGTTTTGCAGTGCTGTTTTGACAACTCCATTTTGTGCTCAACATATTAGCCCCATTTGAACTAAAAAAAACCAGTTGCAAATTAGAAACAGAACTGTTCAAAGCACAGAATAGTAAGGTGAGAACAATCTGTTTTGAACTCAAGATAAAACAAATCTTTATAATGCTTTGAATTAAAAATATAATGCACATTCCTAATATTTAGTTCAACATTCTGTTCTCTTAGTGGCTAAACAGGGGACATTCAAGAACAGGACATAAACTACATTAAAATTAATTTCTATTGATCCTGGAAGAAACTAGATTTTCAGAGTTTTCAGTTTAAGCAGTTTAATATTACTACATATACCTTCTTGCTATAGAAAGAAAAAGTTTTAGCTAAAGGCAAACCTGTGTTATGTCTAATAGTGGCACAGATAATTATAAATTATTTTAGTATTATTCACTATTTAGCCTTGGGCAGCACTTTTCTCTTTCTTGAGAAATTACTGTTTCTCCTGATACACAAAGTATTATTACATGGCATTTCAATTAGAAAGGCCACTGACTAAAAGGGTCTAGATACTGCAATTCACTGTCAATTTCATTTCCCAAATAGACAGATGGTCTTCTTGTTTTAATGTTTTTATCTACAAAGCTGTACTTCCTTTTATGCCCAAAAGCTAATTTGAACATATGGATACTTAGAAGGAAAACATGTGAAGGATGGATTTTTTTAAAAAAGCAATAAAGAAAAAATCAGTAATTGATAGAAATACTGTTATATACAGAAAAATTGAAGTAAATAATCCTTTAACTGTCTTACTCATTTGATAATCTTGTCAAATGGGATTATGAAAAAGAAGAAAAACTTATTCTCTGTTGCAGCAATGTATATTTTTGACATAGTTTTGTAACTATTTTTAAAGCAAACTGAACTTATACCCAAAAACGAAAAGAAAGAGATGTGCTAAATAGGATGACACTGATCTATAATTCTTTATGCTTCTTATATATACTTTTCTGTTGTCCTAATTCTGAATAGGCATTATAAGATTTGTAATATGTAAAACACCAGTGTTGGGTTGGCTGACATGTTTTAAATAATAAAAAGTTTATATAGCTTTGAAAATGTTTGCTAGTTATACAAATTTTATTTAGCATTCAGAAAAAAATATTCATATATTAAGAATAAAAACAATATGACACATTCATTAGTACCTACACTGACTGTTACTCTAAATCATGTTATTATTTAGCAAATATAGAATAAATATATGATAAAGTCATTGTTACAAGCAAGATTAAAGTGGTAATTTTAGACCATAGATTAAATATATAGTTTAACCTTAATTCTTAATTGTGGATTCTGTGTATGTTTTCTAAAAGGTAATCTCGACCTAGTTAATATGTTGACATTTCTGTTCTTCATAATACTTCTGTAAGCTGAGGGTGAGGATTCATTCTCCGAGCTTTTGAGTTGGTTTCCAACATTTCATCACTGGGATAGGTAACATCTTCAGCAGAGTTTAGGGATGCCAATATCAGTGTTCTTCTGTGTATAAGGGCTTCAGATGTGGGTGTGTCAAGTGAGGATCTTGTGATTGGTTAGCTGTGAATAATTAGTGAGTCTTGTGATAGGTCTTGTTATGGGTCTTATGACGGGTCTTATGATAAGGAGATTATATCAGGTCAGGGTCATTAGGAGGTGAACTGCTGGTCAGGGGTTGTGTGGGTTGGTTGAGAGTCAGTGCTGTCTCTAGTTGGCTGTGTGATTGAGTTGGATTTTGAGGGGTTAATAGGTTGGTTGTAGGTCAGTGTGTCTGTTGTTGGAATTGCTTATGGAGTGCCAGGCTTCAATGAACTCACAAGTTCATGTGGCGGCTGGGAGTGTGACCGATGACTTTTGTATTGCTCCAATTGAATTGGTGTTGTTTGGTGTCAGTGTGGGTAGAAATTAAGGATTTGGAATTGTGGTGTTTGACTGCCAGCAAGAGTTCGTGGATCTTGGTTTTAATTGATGTGATGTTTGTCCCACGTACATCCAAGCTACAGATATTCACAACCATTATGTCTGTAGGTGCTGAACCTGACACTTTAAATTTAGATATTGTTTCTTTTCATTCCATTTCAATTCTTATTTCAAAAGAGTACTCTTTTTAAAAAATAGTAGCATAAAATATATAGTTTATTAGAAAAAATGTACACTATTGAAGACACATTTAATCTGCAATTGGTAATTTCTTATACTTAAACAAATTCCAAAACTGTCTTCCAACATTAACTAAATTGTACCAACAAGTTAATTTGAGAGATCATTTTAAATTTTCAGATTAAAAAACCCATACTTATGGATATAACTGTCTCAACTTAGATTTATATTTTTGTCATTTTTCTCACACTATTGTAATTTATTGTGATGAAGATTTAGACTTTAAGAAATGGAATTCTAAAAGCAGTAACAATTTTGAACATGTTGATACTGCAAAATCATTAAAACTGGTGGCTTGAATGAAAAATGGTTATTCACAAACTGTATTCAGATGTTCAAACACAAGAACAATTAACTTGCAATAAGTCCTGCCCCACCTAACTACAATTTATATGAATACGTACAGATGTTGTAGCAGTAAAACATGTATAAAAATGTTTGTTTTGATTTCCAGACAATAAAAAAACTTGTACTGTCACTCTTTCCACTTCCGAGGCTAGAATATTTATAATCCAAAATACATTAATGGTGTTTTCATTGTAAATATCAATCTTGTATTCATGTAATAATTTATGTTGGCATATTCAGGGCTTCTGTGGAATGACCCAAATACAAAATATTTAAATTATATAACCATCACCAAATGATTCACTGAATGAATTAAAGTTTGAATTTAATAAATCAAAATGATATGTTAAAACTAAATGAATTATAATCATTTATACAGACCTTGCATCTGGTAACTATATGGAGCCTGTCCTGGTTGAGGAGTGCTAAAGCTTGCACTGTAGCTCAGAAAGCCTGTCTGACCAGGTGACTGTGTTTGCGTCAATCCACCTTCTGTCTTGATGCCTGCCCACAATGCACCTAAATCAGTTAGTGATAGCAAAGCTATTTGTTCATTTTCAACACTTAGAGGGCATTAATAAATCACATAATGATTCATTCATTGAACTGGAAAGGCATACTAAACCACAATTCATTATCTATTTCAAAAGAATGTAATCATTATAATTTAAATATTTAATCTAGATAAACTAATATAATTTGTAATATATTATAATGTAATGTAATATAATTTGTTGATCAACAAATCCTAGGTTATATTATATAGAGTGAAACTGTATGAATGTCTACTGGGAAGCAACTTCAATTGAGTTCAGTGGGGCTAGTCCAAAAATGAATTTCAACATAGAATATTACATTTATGTCCTTTAAAATTTGGTGGGTTTAACTGTTGAGTAAATATAAAATAAGGGTCTTGTGAATGGACATATTCCTCCAAAATTTCTCTATATAGAGACAAATATGATGGACAGCATGAAGTAGCAATAATAAAACATCATTTTAGTTTGAAGGCATGAAGTATCTGATAACAGTTTTAACAAATACGAAGTCATTAATATATATTTTTTTCTGGATGTTTCCTATTAAATACTTTATGACTAGAAACTGATAAACACCAAGTAGTAGTAAAAAAGAAGGAAGATGGAAGATATGTGGTTCTAAACTGCAACTCATAAAAAGGGATTTATTTTGAATGAAAATTGATTTTTCTAAAACTTAAATATCATAAATATAAGAATTACCTATTTTTGCCGTACTAAAAGAAATACATTCAACATTTTGATTAAGTCTATGAACTTTGATAAAGTATAGACATAGATTAACATAGATTAACATAGATTAATTAAACAAAGTTTTATATTATCAGTTGCTAGGACCAATGTATATCTGCTTAGGTTTTCTGCATTGCTTCCAAACCCAAATTATGACAAAAAGCCATTTAAAAAGAGAAAATTGTGTTTTTCAGCACTGATTGGATTTAAGAATACATGTCCATTGAGGCTGTGCCATGAATCCACAATAATTGTGGATTATTGCTTATATAATCTTCATTATATGCTTCAAAACCATTTCTGCTGTTCATTAAAGCAACTCATGTTTTCTCAACTTTACAGTCCTTTCTTCAGATTTTTCAGGAATAGATTAAAATAGGTATAAATCAAATAGGGTTTAAATACTTGCTAAAATTAAAATTAATATCATTACCCAAAAAATGTTTAGCCTTATTAAATTAATAAAATTCTTTGTGAAGATAGAATTTCAATCTAGAAACTTTTTTTCTCCAACATAACAATATAAACAACTTTTTTAATGTCAGAATATAGAATTGCAATCTAGAAACTTTTTTCTCCAACATAACAATATAAACAGACTTTTCTTTTTAATGTCAGAGTCAGTCTAGAGAAAGTTAAGATGTACCAAACAACTAGCCATAAGATTTGGCTATTTTTTCCAACTTTAAGGATTGCCAAAAAAATCTGTACTAGAAAGTAGTTACATCATCTTGAGACTTCTTGGAAATGCTTCATGAATGTGTATTGCAGCCTTGTACATGAGTTTCACTTTGTGGTTGGTTTCCATACCACAAGTCATTGTATTGCATTGAAAAAACAATCTATTTGGAGTAAATAAATATAATGACTTAACATACAGAGGAAACTCCTCAAGTGGATCATGCCAATATTGTTTAAAGCTATACATTCAAGTTATGGATAGACTTGAAAGCTAAGACCTTCGTCAGTGCTAATCATCTTCTCCTTGAGGTTTATTGAAAAAGGAAAGCAGACATTATATAAATATTATATACAGCTTTGGTGTAAATTTTTATTTGATCCTGTTATTCTGTGGGATGGTTTTATTTAAAAAGATTTTCCTAATATTTTACTCTCTTCTCTATCTTTAGAGGAAAATATAAATGATATAAGAATTTTGGTAATGATAGTAATGAGAATTATGAGGATCTACACATGCATATTGAACCCTAATACAAATAAAATAAAGTTCCATTAAAAATGTCAAAGCTAGAATATAATGGGGAAAAAAACCAGTGGAAACATCATAGACCAGAATGTTATGCACTTTAATTATATCTACTATCTTTCCCCATTTAGCAACACTATATTAAAATGCACCACACTAAGAAAGCTGATATATAGGTAATGTAAGATTTAAGAGTGGTTACTATTAACTCTGTGATGATTCTTACATTTTAAAGGGCCTTTCTGCTTTTAGAGCCTTCTAGCTTCTAAAATTTATGCTTTTAGGGATAGAAGAGCTTATTGCTTTTTGCTATTTTATGTTAATTTAATTAATTTTATGTTTGAATCTAATCTTTTTAAACATTTTTACCCAGATTCTTAGATAAAATTTATATATTGCAAAAAAAAGAAAATTATCTATAAATTTATACTCATCTTATTTTGTATTCAAATATATATATTAAAAAACCCAGTTTTATTCATTTATTGTATTGTATACAATTTGCTTTCATCCAGAGGTAATATGATATCTACCGTAGAACCATTGGTAATTTTTACTATCCAAGGTACTTTACGTGACTCAGCTGTCTTTCAATTAATTGAGATGGATAATGATGCTTAAATAAAGCTGTTAAAGCCTTTGTCACTTATTGGAGGTCAGTTGCAAAAAACGTTTGCAGTTCAAGAGTAACTAGGAAAAATCTGTTTTGCATTTATTACATTTTAAAATATGAAAACCTTTCTATCATTTAAAAAAAGAAATCTGAATTTTAGTAAACTATTTAGAAAAGAGGTACCAACGATCCAGGAAAATACACACACACACACACACACACACACACACACACACACACACATATATATATATTTCACTTTGTACTTCTATTATTGCATATTATTGATGTTCTTCTATTGAAGGTAGCTTTTGTTCACCATTTCACACAGGCCTGGCTATAGCAAATTATAAATTCACAACTAAACAAATAGAATTGGGGCTGTATAAACCTTTCAGATGTACAAACCCCTCTTTTTGAAATGTTAAAACAGTTGCATCTTTTGACAGGTTTGCACAACTGGGCTGTGATATGCACCCTTATCTCTATGTATGCAAGAAGAACTGGAATCAACTTCCTAGGAAAAGATGCAGCTGCTTTAACAATTAAAAAATGCATGTATGTGCACCTGTTTCTTCCAAACCACATCTTTTGAACAATGTACACAGCTCTAGTGATTACTTTATCACCATAACTTGATTCAATGTACAGGTTTCAAATACTCAAGCCTAATTAAAATCTTTTTAAATCTGTAAAATCTTTACATACATACATACATACATACATACATACATACATACATACATACATATATATATATATATATATGTCAAATTCTTTTTGCACTTAAAAAAATGTAAATTC